TATTAGTATGTGCTTTGTTCCGATTAATCTGCTATACTTGTTAGCTTGTTATACTATCAGTCTGTAAATAGAACAACAATTCGCTAACAAGACAAAAGGAAAAATACGTTTTAACTCGGTTAAGTATTTTGACAGAAAATAAGCATTAAGAGAAAATGGCGTTAGTATTTTAAAGGAAAATCCATGTGACGGTGGTTCATAACACGAAAATTAATTTACAATTCACGCCCATTATTATACCATACAAACGTTTATTTACAAATAATAGCAACCATTCCACGAACCCGAAATGGTCAGAAATGTCCTTTTAATCGATCGTTTTTATACAAATCGATAATATCGCAAGCAACGGCTTAAACAATAAATATACGTCAAATATATAATTGGTCGAAAATAATGTTAAATTCAAATATTTTGATTGTTTAAAATATAAGTTATTGTTATGAGACCTTGGAAATACTACTATACATTCTATTATAACATTTTAAATCAGATTATATACGATTACGCCTTGTTAGAAGTCATTCGCGTGGAAATCATTGAACTTTATTTTTTAATTTAGATAATATAATATTTAGTTTCCCGGTCAGGCTCTGCCACAACTTACCTGTAGATTCGATTGTGTTTAAAAATAATATAAATTATATTCATTGATTTAATTTAAAAATACTGTAAGACATAACATACAAGTGAATTGGTAAAAATTCAAAAATTTGGTCATAAAATAAAGACTTAACGATGTAAAATTAATTTGTTTTGATCGTATAATGAGGTCTACGAGCCGGAAGGCGATTTGTCTGCAATTTTTTTTTTGTAGATAAATTACGAGTATATCCTATCTGTTTTTACTTTTTTCACCTTCTCGCCTATCTCTAACGTACATAAATAATCGATTTTAATTGTTTTCTCGTTGCTAAAAATTAGCTTTCTTAACGACAAACATATACGAGATATGTTTGCTGAGAGAAAATCATATATGTTTTTCTTCCACTCATCGTTTCTTACATAAGAGACTTAAGTAACTTAACAGCTTAAGTATAAGATCTCTAGAATTGCGTATTTTTTTAAAAAAAAGAAAACACGTTGTGTACACAAAACAAATTCGTACGATCTAATATTTTAATACACACTTTATTTTAAATAATATACGAGTATATACATACATACGTATATGTATAATATAAATATTTATAAGTATATAAATGTGTATAGTGTTTGAACACCATTACACACTTCAATTGTGATTTACTGGGGTCTAAGGATTATGAATTATTACCTAGTGTTCTATGCCCCGGGAAAGAGATTTTATTTTTATTATTACAAATTATAACGGAGTAAAAATATAACCCCATTTTCGGGCCATATGTTTGTGGTTCAAACGGCGGGTTCTTCTTGCTCGCGCCGTGGCGTCGGCCGTCAAAACTCGGCTTTGCGGCAGAGTTGCGCAAGAAATAAAACGCCGCGAATCGTTCGTTTTTATTTTTCCATTTTTGGACGCCAACCAATGCCGTCGCAGTCCACGGGTTTTGGCATCGTTTCGCTTCCTCTCGCTGGATTGCTCGATCACTGCTCGCAATACGGGACCTCGAAGGAGGAGAACGTGGCAGCCGTTAAACGAAGGAAAATCGAAAACGACCGAGCCGCCGCTTGAGCGCACACGTACGTAATAAACGAGAAGACACCCAGCCTCTAACGGAAAATCGGTGCCAGTTGGCGTTTTCCTCGTGCGTGGCAGTCGCCAAACTAAAAGACCACGCGGGTTGGGCGGTCAGCGCACGGGACGAAGAATAACACTATTACCAAAGAGACGACCGGCCATGTATGGAATTCTTGGTTTGCCGTCGTAATTTGTCGTGGTCGTCGGACGCGTCGCGCGCAGTGTACTGTCTCCGCGATACGTAAAAGAAAAGCCCTCGCTCGACCGTATATCAAAAAACTTTTTCGAATCATCACCCTAGGGCTTCTCCCCCGTTATCCCCCTCCCATTGCGCCTATGGTAGAATGGTTTGTCGTCGTGAAAATTATTATTTTGAAAAAAATATACGTGCAAACAGTGTTTGTGTACACTCTAGGCCAGTGGTTCTCAGTCATGGTAACATTTATGCAGTGTAATGGTGACACGAAATCTTCAAGGGAAAAAGAAAAAAATAATTAATTTTAATAAATTCATATTATTATCACAACTGTCATGTGAATAGCATACCTTTAAGTTTGTGTCTTTATATTATTTAGATCCGATAAATACATGCAGTATTTTGATTTGTGAAATCCCTGCATTATCGATTTTCTTATTGATTTAACCGAGGTCGTTGGTCAGTTATTTTGCAGTCGCTAGATATGAAGTGTTATAACTCTTCAACTTAGGAGATAATATGGGACTCGGTCTTTCCACCATCAGCCCTCGACTCCGTCAACTTAGTAAAAACCACCTGGGACCAATTTCTCATCAGTTTTCATACGAATCATTATTATGTTTTCTCTTTTTTTTTTTTTTTTAATTTGCAAATTTAAACTGTTAACTGACAATATTTATTAATCCCTGCAACTCAAATAAATTGTAGGTGGTGTACTTATTATTTTTCTGTGTACTGTACCTATTTTTTTTTGTGTTATTTCAAGAATTATCCTAAATACCTGGTTAAGATTAATTATTATTTTGATGTAGGGTGACGCGGTGTTTTATTCTAATGGCTAAAGGTGACATGAACGAGAAACGATAATTGAGGAAGTGACGGAGACGTTAAAAATATACGCACGCACTGGATTGCCCATTGTTGCCGTTTATCTGCCTTGCAAATGGTTTATTAATCGATTCGTAGGATTCACATTTCGTAAAATTCTCTCTTCGAATTGAACCAGAAACGGCCATCTGCACGCGGTCCGATCGGTTCTAAAAATTACTAATAAGCCAACGTTGTTTTTGCCGTACACCGTTTATTTTTGATTTTGTACATATGCACAAAATGCACGTTATTATTATGATGTTATTCAAACGCCTGTCACGTGTATTTCCGTCGCGCGTACGTTAACACGTACGTAACCACTCGTATCTCTACTTTGTGCGCTGCAATCCATACAAGCGCGTAACAATAATAATAATCATAATATGTGTATATTATATTATGGGTCCCGTATTCGTGCGCTTTTAAAAAGGAAGTAGCCACTATAATAAATAACGATTGACAGCGACTCCGCGATGAAATCACTTAGAGACACAGAATTTGATATCACACACGTACACTCGCCAATGTCTTTAACTGTCTTAAACTTGAATTTAATAAATTGAATTTCTTAATCGTTTTTACGTATATAAGTAACACGTTTTGACAACAATGTTACGTAATCACAATAATAATGTTTTGCACGGTTTTATCGTATACAATAATATCATGCTATGCGTGCGCACGTATCATATCTCAGCCTTCGTTCTTGCCTGGCTACGCCATTGGATTTTTTTTTTCAAAAATTACGACGTTCATTTTATCAGCTCGAAGTAACACTATTATTAATACTGTTAGTTTTGACCATCAATCTTGATGCCAGTCGTAACCCTTGTGCCGGGTAGTTTTCTCTATTATTTCGTGTTTCAAAATTATAATAATATTGATATATTCCTTTAGAATGTCAAACGGGTTTCCCGAGGGCTTCGTTCAACATTGATTTGCATCCGGTTCTCGTGCAGTATCGAACCTATCGCGCGACAGTGTAAATAATATTTCACAGGTTTTAACTTTATACTTTTTAAGTAAATCGAGCCAAACCATGTGTATCACGTGTACTCGTAAAATGTAAATTATCATTCCACCGCATTTCTTAGATTAACAACTTGACGACAGCGCGATATCACGGTCGTTAATCGTACAATAAGTTTCCTTGCATCTGACATTGGTCGAAAACATACAAAGTTAAACGCCTGCCTGTCCACCGCCTCCCACCCTGCGCATATGGGACGAAGTCAGTATAGGTTTTTTGAATAATTTATTGCTACGTGATAAAATCGTACTGCCGGAAAATAAAGAAAAAAAAAAAAAAAAAAACGTCAACTCCGTTCGCTCGGCACTTACGGCGGCGGCGGCGGACGCATACCTATGCGTTGCAATCGTGTGCAGCAGCTGCTTCAATAACAATGCGTCCGGGACAGCGTATAAGGAAGAAAAGATAAAATTAAATGGATTGCAAGTCGCGCGGTGTTCCCTTCCAGTTACCTACACAAACACCCGTGTGCGTAACAACACGGGTAATCCGCCGATGGCGCGTGTACGACGCGATATTATTATTATTACTATTATTACGATTATAATTATTTTCGTGTTCGCGGTGCACATTTTGCTCGGTGCTGCGCGTGTGGACGGACCCATGTCGACCGCGCGCGTTAATCACGGGCACAACAATAACGCGGTAGCGAACGGCCATTCGGAGTGTAGAGCTGTGACGGTGACGGACGGAGAGGAAGGAAAAAAACAATTAAAAAAAATAAACCGAAATATTATTAAAAAAGAAATCCACCGGCCGCGGCGCGAAGCCCCCTCGCGGCTCGCGCGTTTGTTTCTCTCTCCCGCCGAGCGCTACGAACACTACCGCGCGACGGCGATTCAAGGGCACACGATGAAGCGGGGCGTTGTGCGCGCAGCTGTTGGCACACTCCTCGTGCAAGCGATCCCACCGCTTCATTGTATAGCTCGGTACACGATTTACACGACGCGAGACAATCGATGGCGATACCGCGGCAAGACAATCGTCGGCGATGTTTCGGCCGCGTTCAGCGCTGCTCTGCGGCGGCGGCCCCGTGTTCCATCGTCGTGTCGCGCTTACAGTGGCGCGGAAGGGCGGCCCTCTTGTGAACCGACCCGATAGAGCGGGGTCGGCCGGAGGGAGGGGAGAGGGAAGAAAAAATCGATAGTGCGCGACTACGCCGCCGGGCGCGTGTGCGTGCGGGCCCTCGACGGGCGCTCGCCGCGATTCCGGAGGCCGGCCAGTTCGTGTTGAGCGCGCGGTTTGTCATGCCAGCAGTGGTTTTACCGACCCGCCACTGTATAGCAGCAACGAATACGACGACGACGACGAAGAAGAAATCGCCTTCCACCGCCGCCGTTACTATCGCTGCTGCTGCCGCAGCCGCCGCCGCCGCCGCCACCGCCGCTAGTAATAACGCTTCTGTAACGACGACGTTCTACTGGTTGCCTGTAGTGGATAGCCTCCCGACGTGTTGTTTTTGCTGTTACTGCGGCGGTCGACTGTTGATCGTTACCGGCAATCATCGCATCAACACCTCCAACAGCTTCTTCGGTAGTGTCGGTCGTTTCGTCGACGCGTGTTCGTCCCCGTCGCGTGATTTCGGTCGGCCGTTCTGCCGGTGCAACGGTGCCGCCGCCGTCGCCGCAGTCGCAGCCGCCGCCGTCGTGCTACTAGTGCCGTATGTGCTTGGGCCGCCGTGTTTCCGACCGATCGTTTTGCCGCCCGCGTACGTCTCAGCCGCCAATCACCTTCACCACCACCATCACTACCACCGTCGGATACACCACCAGCACCGTTTCTACAACACCATGGAGACTAGGTAAATACCCGGTTATCCGTATCTTTACGTCTCCACCGTCGCCGCCAACAACAATAATATCAACACGGCCGCTCCGGCTTAAGACTCACGTAGTCGTCGCCTCACGGATCGCGTTATAATATATTATCTTCGTGTGTAGGGCACTGTGTGCGCGCTCGCACGGTTAGTCGAACAATCATATTTACTGTCTGGCGATTGTGATTTTATTAGTTGTTATTACGCATTGTTGGCCGTGGTCTTATTCAATATTATTCCGTAATCGTTTTCTCCTTATCAGCGATAAGCTGTGATACCCGTGCGTGCACGCAGAATAGTGACGCACTGCTTTTCTTTCCTCCGTTTCTCGCCTGTGATACTTCCGAAGCCTTTTGGCGCCGTCCAGTGTCTACACCTTTGTCATTGTCGTCACCGCGTACATACGTCCGCGTTAGGAACTCGATGCACGGCAACAGCGGACGCCATCGTTTATTGAACCGGTCTTGAAAAAACCGCTTCGGTTGCCCTTGAACCCATATCCTCGGCGCGCCACTACGTACAATATAATGTAATACACAAACAAGCGGCTGCCGTTCTCTTTTTCTTCAAGTTTTGTTCCACCTTTCCGTCTCCCACTCATTCTCTCTCTCTCTCTTTCTCTCCCGGCATATCTGCTATACCTATCTTTATCGTCCGTATCTCGTTCTCCGTCGAAGACCGAGGGCTTTATTTCGGGCTGATTCGACTGCGTGAAAAGGTGAATTGGGCACATGGAGGGGGAAGTGAGCGCAACGGCGTCGTTACACAACAGCTGCTGCTACTTCGCGCTTTGTGTACAGCGTTGCAGTGTGGTTTTTTTCGAAGCACAAAGAATATCAGTTTTTTAAACCAGTGAAAGTTTTTTCGCTTCCGCCCCGCGCCGCCACAGTGCACACCAGCGGCGGCGGCCGCTTAAAATAATTACGCTCAGTCGAGGCCCGATGGTCAGCACGAGCCGCAGGGACGTTGACCTCCACCGCCACCGCTTATAATTATACATGAAACGACCATCCCCCTTTTGTTGTAACGGTTCGGTTGCGCAATGCCCTTTGGTGAGGAAGTGCGCGCGGTAGAATGGCAGTGTGTGTGTGTTTGTGTGTGTACGCTGAACATAAAAGGGTGTGCGGGTATGGTGGCGGTAGTAGTAGTAGTGCGGGTAGTCGGCTTACAATACGTATTAAAAAAAATAAAAATATAAAAGCTCCCCTCGTAGTTTTGTATTATATGTGTACATGACGTGATAAATGCGTTCTCGTCGATGTGTACAATGTAAAATGCACTTAAATGCGCATGCTGCTGTTGTATAGTGTGCTCGCCAGTACTCGGCTAACGTATGTTGTTATGTGGTGTGTACTGGCGAATAATACTATATAACTACCACTCGTTGTTTGCACTGCGTGTACTTTTTCTCGTGCCTGTTCACTCGAAAAACGCCGAAAATAGGTTACACTCACGCCCACTAAGAACAAAAATCGCGTTCGTGTTCAACAGTATTATTGACCGTAGCAATTTTTTTTTACGGACTCAACCCAACTGAATGTTTATTTATGGTTTGTGTTTCCGTGGGAAAGAGAAAAACGATAAAAAAACATTGTACTGTTATTATGCTCGTGGGGTTAAGATTAAAAGAAATGATACTGAGCGTAGATTATGTTGCCAATATTATGTGTGATAGAGTCCTATTTAGACAACGGTGTCTGTCTGTTGTCTTGAAATGTTAATTTTAAAAATGTTTCCTTATTGATTTATTATGTATGTTGACGTTATCAATATTAACCTACAGAATTTTGTGCATAGTTTTTTCTCGACGAATGTGTGATTCGATGAGTTTTATCAATGTACATGCAATGCGATCGGCCAGTCCGCCCCAGCAGTTGTTTGACGGTATTATAAATTATTTGCTATCGCTTCATTCTGTGTGTATATGACTTTCGGAACGCACTCGAGAAAAAATGTCGTTAATGTCGCATCCCTTGTGCAGTAAGAATAGGGAGCAAAGAAAAAGGGACATGACAGTGGTGGTACGCACCCTACAAATCCACAAATCCCTACGATGAGAACCCTCCGACCGACGGCGGTGGCGGCATCGAACCCTTCGCGGAGAGACCGTCGTCGTCGTGTTTGCTACGATGGTTCCCAAAATGCGATGTGTGTGTTGCATGTATAGATTTAGGAATCGTAACGATCATTATACAGATACGGTTAGGTTGTACCGTGCGGCAAATGGTCATGACAGGCATGTAAAAAGCCTGTTCCGTGTGCGAGAGAGAGAAAGAAAGAGAGAGAAGAATCCGAACGAAAGACGGCGGTGCTGCAGTAGTAGACATTATCCCCCCGGAGATACAACGTTGCCGTTCCGTGCGCCAACCATCTGTGTGCGGTCGTTCTTTGTTTATTGTATATATCTCCGAACATGAAGTCTACTAAACCCGCTGGTACTCGGAGTACTCGGAGTTTTTACTTCAAACCTGCCGCCGTCGTGGTCGTGATGTGGGCCTTAAAACCTATGTAATATCTCTGCCGCCACCGTATATTGTTTTAGTAGTGGCCGGTCGTATAATATTATATGCCGCGAGGAGAGAAAATAAAGGGCCTTGAAAAAACATTCCGAAAGATCGTAGAAAATCTGATAAAAGGTCGCACTCCATTTTTCAAGCCTTTATCGCACAGCTCGAACACTACGTGTACAGCTGTGACGACTTTTTACATACCATCTGTCTCTTTATGGTTAACAGTCGTAGCTCGTTTTAGGTATGTCTGTGTGTGTGTGTGTGTGTGTGTGTGTGTGTGTGTGTTTTCGTCCACCTACAACCAACGCCACTAGTAGCAACAGCAGCAGCCCCCTTTCACTATGAGTTTTTCCTCTGTAACCTTTTGTGTGTCCGATGCACACGCACACACCTGGGCCTCAGCCGTCGCCGATGGTGCGCGGGGCGGGTGAACGGGCCGGCCGAGTGCGTGGAGAAGGTGTGCACGGGGGACTGTTGCAGGTATCGCCAGGTGGTTTTTATTATTATATTTTTTTTCTCTCGACGATTTAGACTAAACACCCACATACATACTTAGACACGCTGTGTGTCTGTGTGTGTGTAATAATAACAATACAAAAGTTGTGTGAATACATCGCGTCTCATTTTGTCGCACCGTCTACGTGTACCTGTTGTGTTCAAGAATTGTACGTCTGCCCAACAAGGACTAGTGATGTTTCCGAGATTATCGGAGAATCCGACAAGTTCAAACTACGACCTAACCGGATCCGTGTGTAGTATACCTTCCAAGCCGCCTTGGCCTAATTCCATTGGGCTTGTAGTTGAAGTATAGTGTAGTATTGCTGTAGTTTTACTAAATATTTTATTTTCTATTCTTACCCCTCCCCCCTCTCCCCTCGTATGATGTATATATATATTTATTTATTTATTTTATATTTATTTATTTATTTATTTTTACTTCCATCTTTTCGCGTAATTGGAAATTGCTCACGCGGTTTCTGGTGAAAAGTGAAATCATTTGAAGTTTTCGGTCGAATTGTTACACGACAATGCAGAAGCGGAAAGAATTAACGTTGGTTATTTATTTTATTCCCTTACCTACATAGTGTTATCTAATAGGAATTTTTTTTTTTATTTCCTTACGGAATTCAATAAACATATAATCGGTTCCGTTAAAAAATAGAACTTCATCATTTTTCCGCTATCGTTGAATAAAATCTGATGGTACTTTGATCTAAGAAAGAGGTGACGACAAGAAGTAGCAGATACCCTCTTAATAACATCCAAATATATGTGCAAGTGTTTGACATTTACAAACAAGATCAACTAGCTTTCCTGGATATATTCAGTAATTAATATTTTTCTTAGATGAAATTGCCTATTTATATATTTTTTATTTTTAATGACAGTATCGACGAAAAAGCCATTATACGGGTTAAGATATTGTATGAAAATTATTTTGCAAAAATTACCAGATTCAATCAACTATATAATGGAACCGATTTTTTTTAAGGAACGAATTCATTTTTTGGGTTTTATTATTTATTTTATCATTGTATAAGTATCATTGATCGATAAGCACTTAGTTCTTCAGTACACCATAATGTATATTTATTCATCCGTTAGTAATGACTCGAAAAAAAGACCCATTCAGTTTTTAAGTAAATTCAAATTCATACTTAAATTATATAACAGCAAATCCTCAATAGGTATATATTTCCCGTGGTTAACCAAATCTTCAATTTTAAGTCGTATGTACAACTTATGCGTAAACACAAGGACTTATTATATTATTTATGTACATAATATTTTTTTTTCTTTCAAAGTATGCAAAACAGCACAGCTGTGCGGGATATGCAGCTGGTAGTTGCCCGTGTCCTGGGAACATTCACGAACACTCCGTCGTTATTATATGCCCTTCTGATGCAGCGGGGCCCTCCGTCATGATTATAACCTCTGTGATAACTTACACTAAAAATAGCAAAGAAAAAATCATCATTCACTTGCTTATATGAAGATGATTCGTGTCCTTCGTGTCATCAGATGATATTATTAAATTTCCTATGTTGAAAAAAATTAGAAGATTAAGCGAATCTTAACCAACGTTTATGCTGCTAACTAGAGCTACTGCAGTTCTCTTTAATTGACTACCCTTCTCCGTTATATATTTTACAATCAGCTGTTCTCGTGAATATCGGATGATTCACACCTTAAGATAGGGTGGTAGAAAATATTTTCTTTGGCCCCCAGGTACAAACGTCCCTGTTTATAATGGGATCCCTCAAGCGGGACAATTATCCGAACAGTGGTGACCAAATAATTAAGGGTGGCTAGGAACCAATGCCGTATATCCGATACCGTTTTGGAAACCCATTGGTGGGACCGGTTAGAAAAGGAGGTGCGATGACACCATTAGGACGACATTATCATATCCCTTCGACGGTTACGGCCTTTATGCGATAAAGGGTTCCCCGTGCGGGAATACCGGTTGTTAGACGTAGAAATTAAGAGAGAAAAGAACAACAATAAAAGAAGAGGATTTCCATTTGGCTTTGGTTCCCACCGTCTGTGTCAAGGGCGGTTAGTCGTCTGCTGTCTTCTTTCGATACCATCGTACTGCTCCCAGTATAGTTTAGTGCGTTTTCGACTAGGTTAACGTATTTATTTTATATTTTGTTATAATTTAGGTATTTTTTTATTCGTTTTGGTGCTTAGTTTTAGTGATTAAGTTTAACTAAATTAATTTAATTATTTATCATGGATCGTGATTACCATTCTGCAGTGAGAGCCCAAATGTCTGCAATGTTTCCTCCGTAAGTAAACTAATGCGTGTATATTTTACTTAGGTGACGTGTGTGTACTATTTATAAATATCGAAAAAAATAAATAAATATTTACTATCCATTTTTGCAAGTAGATCTTGCGTTTTAATTTCCTTGACATTTTCTTGACGTTTACTTAACAATACGATATATATATGTATATATCCTAATTTTTTTTCCACTTGAATGACAAGTTTCTCTTATTGGAAATGTATGTGTATACAACAGTATTGTGGAGACCTCAAACGGAAACCCTAACAACGTCGCGTAACATGGGAAATGTGTGTATATCTGTGTGTGTGTGTGTCCTAGTTAGGAAATGCGCGTGACAACCGGTGGCGCCTGGGTACAACTAAGTCAAGGGTACATGGTACTCTTAATTTCGTTGTGTATAGTACACTATGCTAGACAACAGTCGAATACAGTATATAGCAACTGAGGTTTTTTTTTTATTTTTTATTCATTATTACTTTTACGCAACCGATTGCGACACCCGTACCCGGGAAAGCCGCGCTCTACGGCGACGAACGGGAAAACGCGGCCGCGTGTATCGACGCGGCGCTGCTCTGCGGCTGCGGTGGCGACGAAGCAATACGCGCGCGCACGAAAAGGAAGTGACCTTAGACGCAAGCGGCCTTGTCCGGTGGCGATTATATGAAGCAGTTCGCGTACAACATTTATCCATCGTAATATGGTTGATGAAACTAGTAACATGTGTGTGTGTCCCTTACTGCACAGCCAAGCTACCCGTGCCGTCGTTGATAATGCCATCTTTAGATTTCGTCGATCAATGCATACGTTTCCCCTCCGTGTGCCTTTCAAAACGTCCACCACAACCCCGATTACAAACTTTTGTCGATCACGTTTCCTAAAATGATTAGGAATTAAGAAAAAAAAAAATGAATCGTGCTCGGGCAGAAATAAGTTTGTCTTGCGCGAGTTTCATGATTACGAGAACAATCGGAAATATACAAAATACGACTAATCCGTGTGGGAAGTCAACAATTTTTTATTATAATCATTTATTTTTTTTTATCTGGTATTTCGTATCGCGCAATGTTTATTTTCGACTCTTCTTAATCTCACAAACTGATGACTACATGAAACCGCATTGATCGATGTGTAAGATGGCTGTTAATCATTTATGTACTTATTAATGTTATATAGGTATTCTCTGCATCGATAACAAGAGAAATGTTTCGCAATTGAATACGTTTCCAATTCGCAACAATACAAATTGTTATAATAATATACATGTGCTTGAGAAAATATTATTCTCGTAGTATTGAAGAGTCAATTTGCCATTAGTCGACATTTACAGTCTTGGTTTCTTCGGCTGATACGGCATGATATACTCTGGGGTTTCCACGAAGTTATCGTTTGTCGTCGGCTCATCGACATCGTGTGTTAGACCACCACTGCATTTATCACATCGGCTTACGCAGAGAAATTCGCAACGCGTGTGAATGATTAACAACAGAAAAATAAATGAAGAAAAAAAAACGCTCGTACAATGTACAGTTTTTATTTATTTATTTATTTATTTTTCGCCTAAATAAACTTTAGCAGATAGTATATTATGTATAGTAGAACTTATTTAACTCAGAGTCGTCGTCTGTACGTAAAATTTTGAGTCCCTAGAATTTCTTATTTTAACTATGTAAAAATATCGTGTTACACGCAAATATTTTTTTTCATAATTCGAAGTTAATAGTTTCATCGAGATCTGCACTTATTCACGAATACTCGTTGATTTTTGTCAAAAATTAACGAGAAACCGATAAAAATATATTCAATATAATTAAAAATTTACTGCGTGTACATTAATAGTTCTAGAACCAACACGTATAATCGTCGAACAAAAATGTCTAAATTTTTCTTCTGAATTATGGTTGTCTAATGATGCATGCATACATACATTATTAAAATAAATATTATTTTTTCCCTCGTTTTTCCCAGATTTGCATTATACCAACGTGTGATGTATGTAATAAAACAATTTTTGTACATTCAGAACGATGCTTTTCGAACAATTTGTTCCACGGTCCCCTGGACTCGATAGTAAACCGAGTGCTGTACCACCGTACTATGTATAATAGTAATAACGTATCCACTACAAAAATATAGCATTTAAATGTTGTGTGTGGTAGGGAAAAGCAGCAACTGGCCGTAGGTTTTGTTGTACGCGCGCGCCTTATACATAGATAAAAATATATTATATTGTAAAATCACTATCTAAACACCGTCGATCGTGTGTGCGGCAGCAGCACCTCTCTAGTCGCTCACACCATCACCAAGGCCAGACTCGATTTCGAAGGCTGGTTCTCGGGTGACGTCACACCTGGTTTCTTTGTTGTCTCGTTTTCCGCTATATATTGTGTGCGCGCGCCGAGACCATAGATATAACATCGTGTGTGTGTGTGTGTGTGTGTGTGTGTGTGTGTGTGTGTGTGTGTGTGTGTGTGTGCGCGCGCTCCGGGGCAGACGAAAAATAGTTACCGAGAGGAATCTCACCCAAATGTGTGTGTGTGCGTATTCTCCGCCCCACGCTGACCCCCGGGCCCATTGTCAGCGTCAGGTACACGCGAGGACCATAGTTGTGTGTGAACCCCAAAAAAAAAAAAGAAAGAAAAAGATCGTTACGGCTGCACAGATTTTCGGAAAACGTGTATTATTACACGCGCGTTTCATTCGTCTCGTCCCGCGTGTCTTATTGTTCGCGGTCACGTTGGCCGAACGGAGAAACATTCGGAAAACGTTTCAACGTCTGCCGTTGTTCCACCTTTGTCGGCCGTTTTGTTGTCGCGCGCTCCGTTCAACCGTCGGCCCGATCGAACACCGAATCGACGATCGCCGTGAAACTACTACTTGGTCGTTTTTTTGATACACGGCCCATCGTTTAAAATACATATTTTAGGTTTCATCTGAAAAAATATCTCATTTTGAGAAACCGCGTACGTTGCTTTGTAACACTATTCCTGCGCTGACGTGTCCCGTGTTAGAACTCCGATAACTATGTACGCGCGTGATAACATAATTCTGTTTCAACAAGATATTCCGTTTAATCGTCGTCCACCACTTCCCACCGTGCATTTACCGACTTGTTTTCTTCTTGTCTCCTATGGTTTTGATAATGTGTACGATATCATAGGTATGGGTAGTGTGTAGTAATGATATGTGTTCACCGCGATGTTTCAGTATAGTCGACGACGTGATATTCGTTCTAACAAACATCTGTTGTATGGCGAATACATACAGTCACCGGTTGGCCTTCGATTCTTCGAAATTTCCTAATAAGATTTCTGCCGCGTTACAAAAATTAAACCGAATAACAATAAAAAGAACCCTTTTACTGTTGTTTCCGATTTTGTCGTTTAAATAGGTTCTTAAACAAATGTTTACTTGTAATTAACGTTGCGTAAACCCCATTAGCCTTGGCACTGACAGTTAAAGTTATCGTATCGATCGTGTCCTTATAATTAAACGACTGTTGTGGTAATCTCTTCCTTGATGACATAACGTCGGGAAAATGTAGTGTATAATGACGCGTTATACAAAAAAATTAAAAAATATTCCGATTTTGAGTACGCGAAATAATGATCGGTGGTTTTTATTGTTGAAATGGCGCCGGCCTTGTACGCTTGAGAACCAGGAAGGCCTTCGGAAATGATGTATATATATAAATTTTAATTTGTGTGTGGGTGTATGAATACCTACTATGATAATATTATAGTAATGTGTTTAAAAAATCATACAAAGCTAAAAAAAAATCTTAGAATGGGACTTGCATCATCCACGTTTTCGTAGTACTGTAATGGAAACACACCTGTCCCTTAACCCCCGAATTAGGTCAACCATCTGCCAGTCCCGTTTTAGCAATTAGAAATAATTCTATGGTTTTTTTTTTTTTTTTTTATCACAAATAAAATACGTATGTCGAACTGCAACACATCGATATGTGTCAACAGGTGTTCGATTTTGATATTTAAAAACTAATATTTTTTATTTTTTCTTGTTTCAGGTCAGTATTTTTGGATGTAGACGAAGAAACGCACTCTAACATTAAAGCATCTTTTAAAGAGTTGTGGAATCTTATAGGGTGAGTGTAAAAATTATTTTTACCGTCACCAGCAATAACGACGGCTATAAATACGGAGATAGCTCCAAGGCCACAGCAGTTATTCGCGAAGGTCTGGTTGACGATATGAACGAACATATTTCGTTGAACACTGTTATCAGCTATTACGATGGTGCGTGCAGCATGTTGATCCTCTTGGTATAACGTGATATGAGTACAATAAAAATGTTGTAAGGACATAATTTTCTAAAGACCGTTACGATTGAAGCATTTCTTTTTTTCTCGTTCTTACGCGTGGATAGTGTCGGTGATGTCAGTATAGAGATCGCGTAGACAAGATAAGTTTCCATATTGATAAAGCTAAAGCGGAGCTTTCGCGTTAGGGTGTCCATCTCCATAGCAACACCCATGCTCCGAGTATATAGTGCGTTGTGCTCTTCGTGCAACTGTGTTTCTCTACCCTTACCCTTCATCGTATTTGGGCGTGGCCGTCCGTGATCGTAAAGTTACTCAGCTGCAGTGTTACTATACTGTTGTGTACGACTTGGGGATTTATAAGCCAACCAAGTTTTCAGTATTTCCTCTCGAACATTGTAGAGACAATGAAACACGCAATTTATATATGTATATATTGTATGTGCACAAACATAGAGAGAGCTAAATAGAGTACTGCTGTAAGTCCAGAGAATTCGGTTGTAGCAGTTACTCTCTCCGGGGACGGCCTATACTGTATTAGCTCTGCGCGTTATGTTTACTTATACCATAGACCATATTAGAGTCGTACCAAAACTTACGAGTTATCGTATAGTTCTTACTAATTGTAACGCTTTTTCTTTTCGACGATGGAGAATACAAAAAAAAAAAATGTTAACGTATGCGTATAATATATTATGATACGCACACGCTATTAAAAATATTATCGGTGTAGTAGTAAACAGTAATTGTAAAACCACGCGCGTCTGTACGCAGAGTTGTAGTTCACCGACGCATGTCGATACAACGATCACGATTTAACGTACAAGTATAACGTACACCTGTTATACTATGTTTAATATTATTTCTACGAGTTTTTTTTTTTAATACTAGATAGACGCCTCTTGAAAACAGTATGCCGCTGTCGTCATACACTATTATAATTTATAATACATAATATCTTATCGTAAACGATAATCCACTCGTTACGACCACCTATTGGTTCCCAAAGATGTATATACATATATGCGCCCAAAAAGTTATTGAAGTTAACCATATATGGGTCTGTAGATAAGTGCGCAAAATAAAGGTTTTTTTTTTTTTATATGAGCATAACATTAACATAATTTTTAAAACCACCAAGTGCCTTATTTTAAAATCCTTGGCGTTCTGCTGTTAAAAAATGCTATTAAAAAATGTTCCGAAGATCCATTCACACGCTCAACACAACTAAACTACCTACTCTTTGTTGACTTTCTCCTATTTGTCTTTTCTAGTGTACACTCGGCGCGCGCGCGATGTGTCGTCATAATATTAGTATTACATACATATAAAATCAGCAGCACGGCGGTGACGGTGGCCGCGTCCCACGTCCTCGGCTTCGCACTAGACCTCCTCTCACCGTGTAACAAAACTCCGCTTAACTTTCACTCTGTTGAAAAAAAATAGAGTTATGTTTCATGGTCGAGCGTTTTTCAGAGCGGAACTTATTATTCGATTGTGTAATTTTTGTGAAAATTCCTTTCCCTACCCTTAAACCGCGTTCGATCGAAATATATGGAATGAAAATGGCGCTTAAAGAATCCAATAAAATAATTATACGCGTTAACGTGGTCAACGATAGTGAGACATTATATTATAGCATAGTAGGCGTGTACGTTTTGTAGTAATGTTATATTATGTTGTGAAGTTAATACTCGTTTCGCATTATTTGTATATACGAACGCGCCCGTATTTCTTCATAACTCGCACATGATTTCCGTGGAACGAGGAAGTCATGCGACAAACGTGTATAGATATATTAAAGAATAATATAATGCAAATAGTAGTATGTAGTCGGTGTACCCAGGGCTGGATTTAGGATATCTATACCTCTAGGCACAACTATTATGTAGGCCCTGTCAGAGGGCTGTTAGGAAATATGATGGGCATTTACACAAATACATAAATAAGCTCTACCCCTCCAATTTTTTTATGCTTTTACTATAATAAAAATCGTAGAATGTGTTCAAAATGAACCTTCAGTCCTCTCCCCCCCCAAATCTTAAACATTTGCGTCTATGAGATTGATTGTATGCCTAATATATGCTCCTCGAAAAGAAACGTTTAATCCACCTTTAAAACATTTTTAAATCATTTTCTTCCCAAAATCGAGTTTGGTGCAACTTTCTAACTTATAGTTTTTTTTGTCTGAAAAAAATAACATTTAAAATATATCATTAAAGTATAGATTCAATTGCCACATAGTATTTAAGGTATTCAATACTATTTATTAATATCGCAACGGTAGTAATTAAATTAACAATATAATATATAATATAACTTAATAAATAATAAAAACTAGGTATAAATGTTTAAACTTTGATGGGTTTACGTCTTAACTTTGTATTGGTGAAATTACTTATATCTTCATATTTTATTTGTCTACTATTAATGCTATTAATTACTATCAATGCTAAGTAAAGGTAACATGTTAAGCCTTTCTTCTGTCATGAATATTCGGAACCGGTTTTTGATCAACTTTAAATGAAAAAAAAATGTTACTGAATTATTAAACACCTTTTTTTTTTTTTAGCCCTATTGTGGTGCGGGCCCATTGGTTCCAGCCTACGCTTAAATTCGGCCCTGAGTGTACCAGTAATTATATGGTATTATAACAGATGTCTTTATTACAAACGTTTCTAACCAACACGCGGTATTGATGAAAATGGTTGGCGGATCACTCGCCACACATCGCAGGTCGTTCGGAAATTGCGTTTGCATTAATTTGCCACGGAGAATTCGATTCAATTATTTGTTTGAATACCATTATGTATTATGATCATGACAAACCGTTAATTTGTTTTTCGTCGGAACGCGCGCGCCCGACCGACCATGTTCGTCTACGTCCGGTGACCACAGTCCGTCCGACCACATATAGACCTACTCGTACGAAACGGTGCGTATCCTCGTAACAACATTATAACGATTTCTGTCGCGTACGTATTCCGCCATATGTCCATACGCCCGGATGTGTGTGTGCGTGGAATACGCGCTTGGCTGTATATATTATTATAAAATACAAACTGGCGACCACGAACGGAGCGGCCGGGTGCGTTTGTGTGAAACACGTGTGCACACTTCTCCGGTTTCTGAGTTCTCGCAAGTGTACGGTTTCTCCTGTGAACATAAACACTATTTTACTGTAACCATTTCATCATCGAATGCACTACACGTATTAAATATTGTGTCGACGACAATCTCTGTCGGCGTCGTCCCTAACCAGCACCAGAACACCGCTCCACTACACTCCCCATTCACACGATTATTTTCGTCGGAAATCTCATTATTTATTTTGACTGGTTCTGTGGCGATTTCTCGGCATATGCGCGTCGTCTGTGCGTTCGTTTTCTGCGTAAAATAGTTTTCTCAGTTCTCGTCTCCATCGTCGTCGCGTATTTCACTCAATTTAGGACACGCTCCTCCCGGAGAAAGTAAAAGTATATTATTGTTATCATAACGCCAACCTGAGCATCCCGTCGTCTGTCGGCAATGAACCAGTTACGGGTGTAATATAACGGGAGAAAGCGGCTCGAATATAATACGTTACGTGAACGCTCGTAACTATACATAATATAATATACAAAACGAGCGTACGCGCGCCGCGTTGTTGGTGCATAAACGGCGGCGGCGGTTATGGTGTATAGGTGCGCGGAACGGGGAAGGGGCTTCGCTGCCGCCCCGTTCACTTTTTTGCAATGACACGATTTTGGTCATAATGGATTTTCCACTGCCATCGTCCGGGCGTGTAAGAAGAAAAAAAAACGCTCTGTCCGTAACAAATGATTTTTTTTTTTTTCATTGGAAAACCCGCAAATAGCTTGTCACGCTTTTCATATTTTACTTTTCCCTCGAATACCCGCTGGATAATTTTAATTCTGTCATAACCGATTCCGCTTTTCCGGAAAACAATACTTTTCTGTCGGTTGAAAAATAGTAGCAGATCCTAGTTTACACAATTATACACATATACTCACTTTTATGTTTATCATTTGAAACTTGATACCAACAACTTTTTTCGCGCTTTTAAAATTTATTTTCTCAACCGTAAGTAGTATGATATGTATATTTTGGCATTATATCAATTGCGCCGAAAATCGTTGGTAAAGAAAGAAAAATGATGGGATGGAAAAAAAGGTATATATCTATTGCGAATTAATACATTTTGCGATCACCTCATTGATATATATTGATGAAAATGCAACTTTTCCCCCGTATCTTTGGTCATCGTGTAACATATCAAGTGAAAGAACAACAAATGCCTATGAGGCATTACACTCAGCGTTTGGGAAATATTTTTATTCACACCATTCAAATATTTTTGTTTTTCATGAAGTTGTAAAATAATGTAACGCAATCATAATACGTGTTCTCTAAGTTATCACAAATAGACATAACTAATTTTAATATTAGACCTAAGAACTTTTCAAAATTTGTAGGATTAGTGTAAATACCAAGTATGTAGAATGATTAGTTTGATTTTAATTTTAATTTTTGTTTTTAGTCATTATGATTTTTACTTGTACTGTATAGTACAAGTAGTTATACAGGCGCAACTGACGAATACCGTATATTTGCACGTGTTATATAGGCGAGTGGAAACGCCTGTAGCGACAAAGTGCGTATATTGGAGTTACACATTGAACGTAGTTTCGTAAATAATTATTTCAAATTGATTTAATGAGATTATAAATAAATAATTCATCACTTATTTGTTTTGAACCTTCGTTAAATTAAGACGAAAAAACCTGATGGCAGACGATCAACATACACGCACCACTCGGTATGTTGGCGTCCATGAAAAAACGGTTCTCTCATTAAAACGCGTCCCTTGCAGTATCTCACACACATATAAATGGTTGGCGGAGACTCCTTTAGCATATGGCCATGTGTAATATGTATGCCGACGGACGGAATAAAAAATAAATAAAATAAAGTTGCTTGTTCCCCGATGAGTCACGGCGCCCGCGAAAAAAAAGAGGCTCTGTACGCGCGCCACGCGAATCAATACTCAGAGCCCTTTTGTGTTTCAGGGCCTAGATCATTACACGTGCGCCGACGACCGACGCGCCCGCTGTAGGGGCAGCAATTGGCAGCGCTCGTTTATATATATATACTTGTGAAAGCGCCGCAGTACGCACCCCTTAACGAAACAACCCCCACGTCCTTAACATTCGCGCTCGCGCTCAAACCCCGCTGCTGCTGTTCAACGACCCCGCTTCGACATGCGCGCGCGTTGGTCGTCGCGGTCTGAGTCTCTAGGATGCCGAAGTTAATTATTCGCTGGCTACAAAAGAAAACCGACCCGCGTGGGTTCGAAACTCTATTTTCCTCTCTCTTGTAACCATCTTTTCTTTCGTATTTCAAGACAATCGTGCACTAGCAATTATCTCGTGCCCACGAATTTTTTCAGAATTACAACACTGCGCGTTTCTCAGCCTTAAAATCAATTTTTTTCCAACGACCCCGACTTGGTCTGGCGTTCAAATCCTTCGAAAACTAGATAAGTAAAGTTGTGTTTACCTATAATTATAAAAATATATAAATTAGTTTGAACTATCGGATCAATCCTGTAATTTATCCTGAAATTTATTCCGTTTGTTATAAGTATTTCTTAACTATGTCGAGCTTAATCGATAACCTATTACTTAAACGATACAACTGAGCCCCCTTTTCCCATTCTTTACTTTATGATCTAATTCCTAGTCTATAATATTTACGTGGTTCTCATGGCCTGTCTCGTCCACGTGATCTCTCCCTGCGCTATTCACGCATTGTTGTATGTGCCTATAATATATTATCTGTTCATTATGACGGCCGTCACTTTCACGGTTTTCACAACTATTCGCACGCACCGTATAGCTGAACGATTACAATGAAAATCGACAGCGCCGTAAAGTAATACCAATTTTGAATTTAAAAAGTACATAAGACAGGTGTGTGTGTGTGTGTGTGTGTGTGTGTGTGTGTGTGTGTGTGTGTG